GAGGGACAGTGCTTTGGACATGTCCAGAGGAGGGACAGTGCTTTGGAAATGTCCAGAGGAGGGACAATTGTGTGGACATGTCCAGAGGAGGGACAATGGTTTGGACATGTCCAGAGGAGGGACAATTGTGTGGACATGTCCAGAGGAGGGACAATGGGTATATTGGTAGAAGGATGTTAGAAATGCAGCTGCAGGAAAAAGACAAAGAGGAGACATATGATGCAGTTAGAGAGGACATGGAGGTGGTTGGAGTGAGGACACAGTGAGGACACAGAGGACAGAGTGAGGACAGAGTGAGGACACAGTGAGGACACAGAGGACACAGTGAGGACACAGTGAGGACACAGAGGACAGAGTGAGGACAGAGTGAGGACAGAGTGAGATGGAGGAGTTGCTGTGGAGAACAGCTGGAAGAGGACCAAATGAGAGTCAGATGATGTTTTTACAGAACCACCAGGTGTGATGTTTGTAACTGACAGCTGCATGAGTTTTTGATGAACTCATAAATAAAGCTGATGTGGTCTTTCAGCCGACTTGTCCACACCAGCGCTTGATGCTCAGTGAAGAGGAGCATCAGACTCTGACTGTTGAGCAGTTGGAGCTTCTGATAAGATGGTTCCAAAGCTTTTACATTTGGGTGTGGCAGCTTTAAAACACTGGTTCCAGTCATGTTTCCCACTTCCTGCTGGTTTTATTCTTGGTCCAGTGACGAGAACTCACTGAGACGAGTGGTTTTGAGTCCAGACAGGATCTCGTCTGAAGTGGTTGAGTTCTCTTCATCATCCTCTGTGTCAGAGGATGATGGTTACTCTGTGGTTCCTCACACTTCAAGCTGTTGTTTTAGCTGTTTCCTTCTGCAGGCAGACGACTTTGCACGAAGGACTTGGCAGTTGTTTAACGCCAGATGTTCCTCCTGAGCTCCAACCTGCAGCTTCAGGATTACAACACCACCTGCCTCAGGCTTCATGATGGCTCTATAGTGCTGGTTCCCTCAGCCTGAAGCTGTTCAGGTCATCAGAAGCCCTTCGGCTATCATTAAGGTAGATAAGGAATGCAGTGAGCGTGCTCAAGACGAGCCGAAACCCCGTTCACCGGGACGTTGTCACATCAGACGTGTTGCTGCTTCAAGCCTAGCGTCACATTTCAGAGTCTAAAGAAGTTTCATGTTCACCACGGTCCACAGAGGAAACTTTAGAAGTTGTTGAAAACAGCTCAAGTACAAAGTGACATGAGGCCTCACACTGAGTGATGCTTTGTGTACTCACAGTTTGGGTTGTAGCAGTACGTGTCCCATCTCTCATTTTTATTCACTCTGTAGCCGTAACTGATGACGCCGACCTTCCCGAAGCCGCAGTTTGGACCAGCCTTGACTATGGGGTAACCGACGCGGCCTTTGTCAAACCAGCCTGCGGCGCACACATGGAAGCCTGGAAAAAAGAAGATGCTGAACAGACCAGTCTGCTCACCGCAGAGACTTCTTTTTTCAGGAGCGAGGGATGAAAGAGGGGCCTCCCGTGCTGTCAGCCGTGGGGGAGTTGTGCAGTAACAAAAAGCAGAACTCGTGATTTATTCTGTTTACGCTCTCAACATGTGGGGCGGTTTGAACGTTAGCACAGCCCTGCACCACATCACTGCAACGTTGTGTGGTTCATAGAAGAACTAGCTTTGTGTCTGCATCTAGAGGTGAGAACATCAGTTTCAGGTTAGCTGTGAGGGTCAGGCGTGCGTTCAGCTGCAGACCTATTTGACGTGCCGCCTCCAGCTGCTCGTAGGTGGCCAGCCTCCCCCCCTCGTACTCGCACACAGCCCGGGCCTCCTTGTACGTCAGCTGGTACCTCCCTTTGCGTGACTCCCGGTGGTAAACTCCAGCTGCTTGTTCTGTAAGGAGGAATCATCTGTTCCAGTAAAGTTTCATCCATTCAACCTTTATTCCTACTGGTTAGTCACACGTGATTTATCTGTTTAAATCAAATGAAAAATAAATAAAAGTAGTGACATAAAACAAAATAAAAACAAGCTACATTATGACACGGGGTAAAACCTGAAACGTGCACGTCGTGACCTTGTTAATTCTCTACAAACATCTGACCCGTAACTTTATCCGTCCATCTTCTGCTGCTTCTCTGAAATCAGGCCGCAGAGGCAACAGGTCCAGGGGAGCAACCCAGACACCCCACTGACACTTTTCAGCTCGTTCTGGTGGACCCCGAGACAAGTTCATGCCAGAGAAGACACCGACGCCATCCCTCCCATCTGGGTCGTCCCCGGGGCCTCGTGCCAGTGGGACCTGCCTGGAAAACATCTAAAGGGAGGTGTCCACCTCAACGGACTTCTTTCGAGCTGCTCCGAGCTCCCATCGGATGATGGAGCTCCTCGCCCTCTCTCTACGGCTGAGACATCACTCTGCGATGGAAGACCATTTCAGCCACTTCTATCCAGGATCTCCTTCTTTCGGTCATGATCCAAACCTGATGACCACTGGTGAGGGTTGAGACGTAGACAGACCAGTACATTCAGAGCTAAGCCTTTTGACTCAGCTCTCTCTTCACCATATCTGACTGAAGCAACGCCCTCATTACTGAGGAAGAGGCCCCAATCCATGGATCCATCACAAGATGCCCAGATACCAGAACTCCTCCACCCGAGGCAAACTTAACTGGATCCTTTAACACTAAATCCAAAGTTTTCCTACAAGAAGTTAATGAAGCTCCATGAAATGAACACGCTTCACGAGTTGATGTTAATTAATGCTGCGCAATCAAGACCAAATAAGCACAGGAGCTCGTACTCACCTGGTCAAATCTGAAGGACGGAGCTCACAGAGGAAGAAAGTCTGCGGCTCATTTACCACTCATGAAAGGTAAATGGACCGAACAGCTCCTGTCTGTCTTATCGAGACACTCGAAGCTCTTTACAACAAGCTCATACAGCTCTATACTAGATCTGTACAAAGACTAATCAGAGCTTTATCACATTCAGGCACCGATGAGACTCGCATCAGAGGAAATGAGGGGTTCAGTGTCTTGCCCAGGGACTCTTCAGCATGTGACTGTTGGTGGATTCGAACCCCCAACTCTTGCATTGGAGGACGACTGCTCCAACCACTGAGCCACAGGCGCCCCCATGAAGTCAATGTAATTATTTCACAAATAAAAACACATGTGGGGGCTGGGAACAAGTCCTCTTCACACGTTCACACCCTCAGCCGGGTCGTCAACGAGCTGTTTCACCATAAAATACAACGAGCCTCGTCTCTGCTTTGAAGCAAGAATGAGCTCAGCAGCATTTCTGATAAAAACACAATTCAGAGTTAATTACAGATTTACAGGAATCTGGTCTGACCACAGAAACACGATGGCTCAAATAAACCAGTCAGGACTAAAAAGAGAAGACAAACTGAAGCTGCTGAGATGAGCATCAATATTGAACTTGAACACAAACAAATCATTTGGTTAATATTTACCCAGCCATATTGAATTATGGAATATTCCATTTCTTATGCCCCAAGGCTGCGCTTCCTTCAGCAGGAAGCTGAGGGTCCAGAGGAGCAGCAGGAGGCACATCCTGCAGCTGCTGTGTTCACATGTCCTCTGCTGCCACCGCCTTAAATATGCAGGCCGCCGCCTCCAAGAGGAGGTGCAGACTGAGAGCCGAGCTCCGAGGTCGGAGGAGACGCAGACGGCTCGAGCTCTTACTGTAGAAATGAAGCCAAGTGTCTGAAGGTGGTTTCAACAAAAAGAACTAAAGTCTCCTCCAATAATCAAATACTGAGGTTTACGTTAAAAAGACATCCTTACTCATTCATTCATTCATTCAATCATTCATTCAATCATTCATTCAATCATTCATTCAATCATTCATTCATTCATTCAATCATTCATTCATTCATTCATTCATTCA